CGAACGGTTGTTGTGGCATGTAGCCAGAATGCGCAAATTGATAATTTTGCGGAGGCACGGTGCTGCTGGTCTTCGGCACGTACTGCGGTGCATATACGTTCAGGGTTGAATGCCCTGAGACCATGGGCATGGTGGAAATCCTGGGCGGCTGACTGGCTTGGTGCATCGTACTACTCACAACTGTTGGCGCATGTCCAAACGTTGGCAGTGACGTCATCATTGGCATGGGCGGCATCGGCTGTGGTGGCGCAGATCCAAACCCAATGACTGGGGGTGATGCCCTCATAGGCAGCTGTTGAGGTGGCACTGATCGTGGCAGAGTTCCTGTTGATGCCAACACTGGCATTGATGAGGGAACACTGGGTGCTATCTGTACACTGGCTGCACTAGATGCATTGGGCACAGTGTGTGTAGATATAGCAAGTCCTAGTGGCTGAAAAGCACTTTGCACTGCAGATGTCATGGGTGCATGAAGACCACTTACTGCTTGAATAGGCTGTGGCTGACTAGGCTGCAAAGGACTTCCCCCCTGCTCCTGGCTGTGATAGGCTGATGAAAGGACACCAAGCAGAGGCGCTGAGATGCGTCCTTGTATACCAGATGTAGTCCTGGCCAGTGGAGCGTCAGTTCCAATGCCGCTTCTGCCAGTTCTGCAGGTCTCTGCTGGTCCAACTGACTGTGATCTGCTGGCACTAACTGAGACTGCACCAGACTGTCCAACGGATGAGGTGAGATCCAGCATAGAATCCAAACGCCCCGCACCTGAGCTGCTCTCCAAAGCGTGCTCCTCTTCGGTTCTGGCGTTTTCATCGTGTTGCTGCGACTCGTCACCTCCATCCGGCGTTTCTTCCAGAAGTGCGCTCACATCAGCCAGCAAGCTAATATCGTTTCGGAATTTTTCCTCCCACTTGTCCAACACGTCCAAGCGTGCAGAATCCTGTTGCTGCTCCAGTAGCTCCCTATGTCCGTGGAGCAGTTCTTCAATGGCGTGCACGAGCTCCTCAGCCTTGCGTAGGTCCTTTCCAAGGTACCTGCGGCTTGGACTCGACTTGCCAAATTCACTCGACAATCCTTTTAGGCAGAGCGTCAGCCTTCGCCTCAGCTGCTTGCGCTGCGTAATGATTGCCTCGTCGCCAAAGGCTGAGCCATCCGAGGCGTCCAGGTTGTCTTCACTAGTCCCATCTTGGGTAGAGCGGTCCTGCTCTAATCCATCCATGGCCGAGGAAACTGCGTATCCCGTCGAAGGTGCCAGAAATGTTACTTTCAATTAGGGTTCGTTGTAGAATGCTCGGAACACACTCTCACAAACAAACTACGCAAGAATCTTCACCACGCACAGATGGACACGTTCAGTGTTGACAGAAAACCAACTTCAACTCTCATCACTACAACGTATAAAGCAAGAACACAAGAATGGAATACACTTCCAAGAGAAACACACACCAAGCGAACAGCCAAGCAAAAGACACTACAGTACTGGTCGACAAAGCCAGACCAAAAACCGAAACACGCAGTACCACAAGCCTCCACGTGCGCAGCGCGGCAATCTGGAGTGATTTGCATCGGTCACGCGACACGTGCAGCCACACAGGCGCGGGCATGTAAAACACGCATGCAAGCAATGCATGAAAGGTGCCAGTGGCATGAGCGGAATAGTGAACTAAACGTAACATACTGTACCAATTAGTCTCTCGTCCTTTCCACTGCGGAAAATTATAATTTTTTTAAAATTGTGAAGATCGAAGAGGATTGAAGGCTATCAATTATTTACCGGTGTTGTAAATGCACTTCGAATGAAAGCCGACAAATTGTACAACATGACGTTAAACGTGTTAAAAATCAAGATTTGCTGATACTGTATGGCGAGAGGGAGGGGGAGAGAAAGAAAGAAAGAAAGAGAGAGATATAGAGAGTATGAGTATGGTAGTACCTTGGTCTAAGCAAAGATGAGTGTGGCAAACAATTATAGAGCATGCCCTAATGAATATTGGGGAGAATTGTCTGCCTGAGGTAATTACAATGTGAATCGCAATGCGGGTCAATGCAATAGAATGACAAAGTATTCAAATAATCACTGAAATTCCACATAATGAGGCGAATCAAGTTCATTATTTGTACTTGTAGTGTTGCCACCAGTACTTCTAGCAGCCTGGTTTGATGGAACTGATGCGCCAGTTGTTGAAACACCATAGGCAGGATTATTGGTAGACTTAACAAAAGCAGGATTCTGGGTTTGCAGAAGAGTAGTTGGCTGACATTCTACACCTGGTACAGTGCTAGTGACTGAAGTTGTCCCCTTGCGATGTGACCTGGACCGTACCATTTTCACAATGATAAAAAATGCTAAAAAAGTCATGATGATGCCACCTGCTAATCCAGCCACTATGTATATGATGATTGCAGTTTGGTCTGTTGTTGTTGGTTGTTCATTTGATTGGACTAAAAGGCAGAACGCACACAAAAGTTCGGGTCAGGAAAAAATCGAAAATTCAAGCCCCCCCCGGTATCTGTGGAGTCTCAGATACTGGGGGGGGGGCTTGAATTTTCGATTGTGGAGTCTCAACCATGCCTGGCTGTGAAGCATGCACACTGGCTAGTATGGTGATAGCTGGTACCTTTCACCTGCCTCATACTGACATGACACCTGGGTCCACGCAGCACTGTTAGGGCATGTACCGTAATCTCGTGCATTTAAAGGACATGTTCTTATTTTCGAATATATGAGCACTCTCGCTTATAAGAACATGCACTTATAAGGGAATGAAATCACCGTGACCACACAAGGTTCATCATGGTTCAATTGTACTGGCATTAACCCAGAATAATGCGTACTGGCACATGTACATGTCGATGCGATGTTTGCGTTTCGCACATAAGACCATGGTCTTATAATTGAACGAAAATGCACTTATGAAAGGACAGAAAACAGCTACTTTTCGATTATAAGACCAGGGTCTTATATGCGCGAGATTACGGTACCATAATATGCATTTGTTTAGTAACTGGTGGTGTTAGTGGACATTATAGCGTAACTTGTAGTTCCTTTGTCCTTTTTGCTTTCTATAATATGCATTGTTACAACTAGCCATTTATTATTATGCTTCCAGTAGTTGGTCAGCCTGGGGCACTACATCGTCAGGGACCTCTGAAAAAGCCGTAATTATTGTAGAGCAACGAGCTGTCTTTTAATGTATGTGGTGCCTCCTTTGCAACATGGCTGGTAGCTCAGTGAAATTAAAGTGAAAGAAGGAGAAAAATCCCCATCTTTCACTTTTATTTGTCCCTATAAGACTTATTTCAAGTGGTTCCCATTCCATACCGTTACGTAGATTCACTGATGATGTAACAAGAAACAGTTCTAAACAAATCTTCTCTTTCCTTATCATTGTGTGCCTTGCAATCAGCGTTTCACATTTTACTCACACATGTCGACATTAAGGAAATGCTAACAGTGTATTTAGTCGTCCTTGTTGCTATATTAAAACTGCTGTCTTCGAAACGCTTGTTTACTATGGCAAAGATGTTACTTTAGTAGCATCTGGCGCTAGCCAGGGTCCAGACCGCTGTATTTCGTATGTCTGTGTGTGTGGTAGGGCCGTCATCACGTGATGTGCCACACCTGGTGTGCTATCCTGTACATGTCCCGTACCGTACAGTCACAGAAAGCTGGCCACATAATCAAATAGGGTTTTCAGTGACGAGATCATCATATTGGCTTGATGATCGAAACAGCTGTTTTAAGGAAATGAGTAGCTAAAGAAGTGTCGTTTTGCTGATGGTGTGCTGTGGCATTATGTCAAGGTCCGCTGGAGGGCGCAATTGTGGTATGTGGTTACATGGGTGCATATCTAAATTGTTTAGGCTTTGTTTTGAAGGAAGAAAGGAATACTATTCTAGTTGTCTACAAGCTTCCAAATCCAACATGGGGCTTATGTAGTTATGGGCAGTGTTGACTTTAAATTTTTGAACTTAGAGTTTTATACTCGAAGTACTCGAAACAGCTGTTTGAAGGAACTAAGTACCAGCGGATGTGTCGCTTGCTGATGGTGTGCTGTGGCAATGTGTAGAGGTCGGCTCGAGGGCGTTGTTGTGGTGTGGTGGTTGATGGAGAAAAGAATCTGTACAAGGCCGAATGTTGCTGCTCACCCTTGGTTTATCTCTGATTTAATAAAGCTACGAATAGCTATGAAGCTATGAATAGAACCAAGCCCGCAGACATCACCACGCAACATGCAACTTGTTCGAGATGTAGGTACCTATTAATATTATCTCCATTATAAGCCCCGGACTTATATATTTTGACCAGTCCGGACCCTGGGCTTATATTGGAGACTATGCTTCTACTAGAGGGGGGCTCATAATTTTAAACCATCCGTTACATGTACATTGGTCATCATTTTTTATTACATAAGTAGCGCAATGCTTCCCACCAGGTATTGGGAATGCAGTTTTGTACTTCTTGGTACACTGAGTCTGTTCCTTTTACCTCAGGGCTCACAGACTTGTGCCACAACATGTGGGTGTGTGACACTTTGTGATGTCAAACATGCATGGACATGATCCATGCAGTTTTCCATTATAAGCCCTGCCTTATATTGGAGACTGCGCTTGTATATCTTCGAAGCCCTCTTGGATTGCGCTTATAATAGAGACTGGGATTGTACTAGAGATAATACAGTATTATTATCCAGTTGAAGTCCTTGAAGCTGCTCAAATTTGTATGCAGAAACCTGATTTGCGGAAACAGAAAGAACACATTGTTGCATTACGGTTATACTTGTAAGCGTTAACATCATGTTTTCTTCTACACGTTGGCATGTTAGAGTGCAAAGTTGCTTGCTAGCCTTCTTACTTCATCACATTAATTTATTAGTAACCCTTATGTGTCGTTGGTAGCACTACTTATACTTGATTGCTCAACGTTAGTTTTTTCAATGTTTCCCTTAGTTCTGTATGTGCATGTACATGCATATAATGCATATGAATTATAATACTGTTACCTTGTGATGTGGTCAATGGTGCATTGTTTTCTGTTGAACTGCTTTGGTAGGAGTTAGCGGTGCTATGTTCCAATATGCCTGCCGACACAGTTGGTGCAGATGAAGCAGCTGTGCATTTCAATATAAGAAGCAAACTGGTTATTCAGGTTTTTCAAGAAAATGCGCTTGGAGAGAAAAGAAATCATGGATAAGAGGAAGGACAAAAATGCATGAGCTATGATTAACCGTCCACCATAGTAACCAGATCATATACAGTCAGAGAGTGTGCTAAAAAGGCTCAAAATGCACAGGGAGTACTGAGACATTCAACCGGACAAGACACCTAGTCTCTTTGGCACAAACCTAAAGCCTTCCGAGTTGGAACGCTCGGGTTAGGAAAGGTCCAATGAGGGAAGGAAATCATGTCTCTGTGGGAATTTGCGGAAAAAATTCTCGAAAACTTGCGCAAGAAATTGCGCCAGAAAACAATGAAAAATGCGGCAAAAAGTGCGGAGAGATGTGGAACTTGCCAGAAATTCGCGGAATTATTTGCAGAAAATTGTGGATTTGGGCCAAATTACGAAGTTTCTTGCACCCGTAGAATCGCTATTTGCGCAGTAGATCTACTCGGGAGTAGTACGAGTCGTACTGTGCAAAAATCCAACATAATCATGGAAAACACTACGTGAAAAGTACTGTAGTGACATTCACATGTACGAGTTTAGTGTGTAGTACTCGGTAAGCACGTACTGAGCTCTGTGTTTTCTCTTGTCTCCATATACTGCATGCTTCACGTTATGCGCTTATCAGTTTGACCCTGAGTTCATGTCTGCTATCCCGTGTCTCCTCTATTTCTGTTTGCTTCCACGTAGTACAGGTCCTCCCTCGTTAGTAGATAATCCCTGGGCCATCGAAAAAGTTATCTTATATCGAGACTTATCTTGTAGCAGGACTTGCAGCTAAAGGTGAAATAGGCACTACTTCGTACTTACCAGGGCTACCCTCGATACAACATAAATTATCGGTGCTTCAACTCGTTATAAGATAATTGAAAATCTCCAAGTTACTCCAACATAACTCTTCCTTGGATGCAAAGGATCGTCCATATTCACGAATACATAGACATAAAACGTTTCCTCTTTCTGCTTTATCCAACGTGTTTTGGCCTTGGTCCTGCATGGTCAATATTATCTTATACTGAGGGTTTGGCACTCCAGAAACCTGGTCAAAGGGTCGTTATAACGGATTTTATGTACTAACGAATTATGTTGTAACCGGACCTTTAAGCAGTTGTATAGACCACGTTTTGCCAGGGGATTTCAGCTTTCTATTTACTAACGGGGTTTATGTAGTAACCGGACTCGTTATAATGAGGGAGAACCTGTACCCGGCTACGGTGTAGCGCTGCACGTGTTACGTCAGCTTGAACTGTCGCATACATCATACTTTAGTCATGCTTACACTTCCTTTATGTCTCTATGGACTCCCTGATTTTTCTTCTGGCCATCCGTGTTTTCACAGCCAGTCCTGGTGCCTGAATGAAAATCACATCTGTACTCTTGATTGTTCCGTGCTGCTGGTGATCAGTAGCCATGTGTTTACCCCACGGTTTGGCGGGCATCCTGTGACGTGCTTCGTAGTGGTGTTCCTCGAAACGGTCTCTTGCGAAGCTGAAGGTCTCACCGACATCCCGCTTCTGACACAGCGCACACTTCATCAGATAATGCCGGGGGAATCACACATGCAGCTCGGCAAACCAGAGGAGCATGAGAAGCAGGGGTTGAGCGGTCTTCCTCGCCTCTACTATTCTCGGCGCCTCATTCGTTCTTGTGTCACTCTGCACTTCATTGGATTCAGCGCTGACTTCACGAGGACATCTTTGAGGTTGGGAGGGTGTTCAGACACAACATTGACCGGGAACCCCGAGCGCTCGACTAAATGCTTTGCCTACCGCTGAATGTCTTCTGAGCAAAAGGGTAGCTTCAGTATAGCGGCATCTTTTTTCATATGTGGCTCACATCGTTGGGCAGTGTGGCAACTTTTCCGAGCAATCTCTTCGGTGATTGCCTCGGGATATTTGTTGCTTCGCAGCAATTTCTTCATCATGCCGAGACTCCCGCAGGCTTGTGCCGGTGGGACGAATCCTTTCGAGCTCTGCCAAAGTGCTGCTTACCGACCGCATACTTGACGGAGCGAGGTATTTGGGAATGAACTTCCTGTACAGGCGGTGTGTAATTGTGCCATAAGGGGTAAGCTCAAAGCAAACATCAAGAAATGGAACCGGTCGATTTTCACTGCTTTCGTAAGTGAACTTGATAATAGGGTGCTGGCTATTTCAGTGGCCAATGAATACCCGTAGAGCAGCTCACCCATGAATCTAAATTAAAATTGTATCGTCGATATACCTTGCATAGAGAGATGGCTGGAGGGTGGTAGTCTCCAACACATTTTTCCCATAGCATGTAATTGCCAATCAAAGAGGTAAGGAGACTCCCTCGATTTAGGCTAAGGCCTGTGGAGAATCCATACATACAAAATACAAATACAAAGAGGAGTGGGTGGGTGAAAGCCAACCACGGCTGAGGAACGTAAAGAATTATAAATAAAATAAAGGAGGGAGAAAAGATAAAGAAAAGGTAACTAGAAGGGGACTATAGAAGTGCTGCAAGCTGGACGTTAAAATCTATGAGGAATGATGTGGGCTGAGTGGCATAAGGAAGAATAAGCCATGTCGAGAAGGCAAAAAAAAACCACAGAGGCAAATAAAGCAATTTGGCTGTTAGTTCAATCAGGTGTTGCTGGATTGTAAAGTTCAACTCTGATGGTGAGGCAGTTAAATTATGATGAAAAAGGAGTTGGACAAAAAAGTTATGAGTTATGACTAACTGACAGTAACTGTCCATCAATGTAACCAGATCTTATACAGTCAGCAAGTGCGACAAAATGGCACAAAACTGACAAGGAGTACTGAGACATTCGGCGACCTGACACCTAGCTCTAACACTTCTTGAAGGTGCAAACCAACAACCTTCCAACCTGGAAGGCTCAGGTTCGGAAAGGTCCAAGAGGGGAAGGAAAGCGCAACGAAAAAGAGCACGAGCTACGTCCCACGGCAACAAAGAATGCCGAAAGTTACTGGATGATGACGAAACTAGTAAGACTATTGGACATACCGGCCTTACTACAACTCGACGACGCAAAGCAACAGACTACCCAACTTGGGAGGCTCACGTTTATGTAATAAACATAGAAAGGGGAAGCTAAGCGAAGACGAATTATGACAAACCGAAACGTCAACATCCTACTGAACTCTTTTTACGTTGATGGACAGATGGTCACAGGGATTAATTTATCCTGTACCACATCGCAGTTTGCGATGCATAATAGATCTACTGCTACTCAAAAGTCACCGTGACTCGCACAAAATTGCGATACATACAGGCTATCCATGCCTAGCCTGCGCTGTCAAGTAACATGCATACAGTGCAGTGTATGTGGTGCAGGCACTCTCAATCTGCATGCACATGTATGCTTCAGTCGGTTTTTTTGCAAACGGGCTTTCAGGCATCACTCTCCAGAAGGACAATGTGGTAAACACCCAACCTTCAAAGAAAAATGCTAATCAAAGTCAAAGACTGCTACACAACTGTGATTTCCTATAGCAGAAACTGCTATGCAAAAATATGACAGCAAATTCATCCCTGGGTAATAACTCGTGACATTTTTTGGAATCGTTGAATTTTTAGTCGCAACACAAACAGGCGATGGCGCCTCCTTTTATACATGTGGGACAACATGACAAAGTTAATAATAATAGTAATGGGGAGAGGAAGAGAAAATCACAGGTGAAAGAAGTCACCGAAGGTACCTGAATACTGGCATTCTACATAATAGAGCTGCGGGAAAAAGAATCCTGTTGAAAAACCGAAAACATGGAGTATAACTGACCGATTTGAAGTCGAGTAGTTCATTTTCTAACATCCTTGCAGAACATTAGGCACCAATAGATAGGATTTGATCAGATAAAATCTTACACAAAATTAGAAAGGATTGACCATTGGTGAACAGATAGAAAAGTAGCTAGAGTGACCTATTTTGAATACTTAACCACCAGGTGGGTAAGTTTGAGTAGGTGGATGCTCCATCTATCCAGCAATGGGCTGGGCGACAGCATAGAGGTCAGTGGAAGGGGTCATGCACGGTAGGCGGAAGAGGAGCTTTTGAATTTCTTTGCGATGCGTTTCCAGGAGTGTTCCATTTGTTGCTGATAAGCCAGCCCAAGAAACGTCAGCGGAGTCGAAAAAGAGGGCGAAGATATAAAGAACAGAAAAGAGGTTTGCAAGAGGTTGGGAGAAAGTAGCAGTGAGAGAAAATCATACCCAGAGAGGCGCTGGAACGTTTACACTGAACATACATGTAATTGACATGGGGGAGTCCAAGACATTACGTGAATCAAGTACAATACCTAGGCTTGGTCACACAACACAGTGAGCTAACCACCTGGGTCAGTCGGCAATCCTGTACTCTGCAACTGAACTGTCGCTGAAAAGGAAATTTTAATCGCCTTAAAGGTGTGGGAGTACACGAGCAAACAAACAAAATTTGATGTAGGCACACACCCCTCTCTTTCCCTCTCTCTCTCTCTCTCTCTCTCCCTCTCTCTCTCTCCCTCCGTGAACTGTTTATCGGTCTTCTCCTGCATATCCGTAGGCTGACTGTGCTTTGGAAATGGTTCTTCAAGGAGGAGATACTTGGTATTCGCCATCTTTCCTGAGACATTTTCAGCCAACTTTCAAAACTACGACATTATTTTATTCGTTAATCTCCACCACCTGTCGTCCCACCTGGCTTCAGAAGATTTTACGAGAGATAGGGGAGTCACCAGGAAGCATCGCACCCATCTTCAGGAAGTGGAAAGAGCAAATGGCATGGTCCTTGGTTGGGGTAAATGCTGAACGTCTGATTTGTTGAACGTCGGAGACGGGTACACATGTACCTGGCGCTGTCTCACCAGCCGAGTCACATGCTTTAACTCAGCTCCGCCCTTGTTGATGCAGCTGTTGTCACTCCTCGCTGACGAAAAAAATTAGTTTTTGGCAGCTACGGAGTACAAGAATATCGTTGTAGTACGAACCGGTTAACCCACCTTCAATCTGCGCCGCCGGCGGTTATCCAGGCATTTCTCTCGTGGCCACCGCTGACAACTTTGCCACGGAAGTGCGTCGCGCACCAGGAGCAGGTCATCTTTTTCGTCTCCATGTCGTAGACAAGCCATGGACGACCTGTTTTCCAAGAGTCCTGGAAGCAGGGCCTGTGGATTCGCCTTTTCGCTGGAGGCTCCATTTCCAAAAACAACACCTCAACGATCAAGCTCGAACTGAGCACGTGCACACACCGGTTACTGACTACTTTCACTTCGACGCGCGCCTCTGCATGATCTGTCACACATATACAAGCCATGTAGTCAGTCCTTTCAAAGTTTGAACGTGTAAAGTACCAACCAGGTCACAGGTGACCTGGTACAGTCGTCCCTCTCTAATCCGGCACTTGTTTATCCGGAACCCTTGCCAACCGGCGCACTTTCTGACGAAACCGATTTTTTCGTTCAATTCCTACATCTTAATCCGGCACTTGAATTCCGCCTCCGGCAGTGACTTTTTGAAACGAATCGCTCAAACTGCTCGTAGTTTGATTTCATAATCCGGCAGTCGTAAATCGCGTACCGCACAGGTGCACTCCAGGCTAGGCCAGTCTGGTCAATGTTGTCCAGGAGACAACGGTAGTCAAACATACTTTCTTATTTTACTATTTTTAGCAAGGAGTAGTGTCCTGCCAATTTTCAGGTGTGTGTGTGCGTGTGTGTGCAAGAGTACATGTGAACATGTTCTCTGTTTTACTTTATCACTTTATCACTGTGTATATTCCCGGAGAACAATTGAGAATATAAAGCCGTGCACCAAATACTTGGGTCGACACGGAAAAACCCTGCGTTTTGACGTACATATGATACATGCATGCAATTGGGTAGGGCCGTGTCAGAGGGCAGGATTTCTTAATCCAGCACCCTCGTTAATCCAGCAGAAAACGCCGTAGCAAAAGGTGCCGGATTAGAGAGGGACGACTGTACTATATTTTCAACCGGGTCCAAGCGCCGCACAACCGGGTCGATTACCCGGCTCACCCGGCTCTGGAGCAGACACTGCAGGGATGAATTTATCCAGTATCGCATCGCAGTTTGCTACGCAAAATCGATCTACTGCTACTCAAAATCACAGTGACATGCAGAAAACTGCGATACATACATGTACAGGCTATCCATGTTTTTTGTAGCTTTAATACGCCACAACTGACATTTTGCATAGCAAAAACTGCTATGCAAAAACATGACAGTAAATTCATCCCTGCACTGCTATGGACGCAAACAGTCCCGTCACGTCCATCTGGCTGAACCCACTGCGGGTCGATGTCTCGGGCATTGCGAGTTTCGCCCATTTCTCTGCTTCTCTTGTTGTTCGTACTACAAACTGGTAAAAACTCTCATCGCTCTTTTGCACCATGGACACCAACGCCTGCCAGGCCTTGTTGGCGGTCTTTCCATGTGCAGTTAGCAGCTCACGCTTGGCATCCGCAAACGTGCTGCATCCATAGCATGCGCTCTCCAGCTTGCTGCCAGCAACAGCAACGCACAATCTTATTAGGTACTGGTTCTGTGCCGCCACATCCTCGAATACTTCAAGGTAGGACTCTACCGTTTGCTTACCATCGAACTTAGGCATCTTGATGGCTGGCTTCCTCGTGATGGCACTCCCATCCAGGATGCTGCTGACGTCTCTAGATGGTCTGGACTGTGTGATTCGCTCCTCTAACTCTGCGACCCTCTGCCGCAGCTCCGCATAGTGTCTTCTCTCTTCTCTCTCCTCTGCTTGAGTGTCGCGCTCTCTCTCTCTCTGCATCCGCTCTCTCTCCTCGTGCTTCTGGATCCGCTCCTCTATATATTCACGCAGGCTTTCTCCAGTGTAGCCATACGCTTGGCCGTTCGCGATCAGATTTGCTTCGACTTGCTCCATGGGTCTCGGATCCTGGCGTGGTCGCCAAAATGTTGTGTATCTTACACTCAAAAGTTCCAGGAACTGAGACCGATCAGTATTTATTTACACGGTACGAACGATTACAGAGGATATGTAAGGTAGAAAAGGAGACGAAAGAAATACTGTAAAACCGGAAAGTCTAACGAGGCACAAAGTCTTACGTTTCCACTTTTAACGACCAATTATTTTTCGTTATGTTAAAAATACGTCATCGCTAGATGTCTGTGTAAAGATGCGCATACAGATGGGTAGCCAGGTAGCCATCGTTAAACTTTTCTGCACGTAATCATGCCTAAATTACAAAAACGTTAAACTTTTTGGTCGTTAGACTTTCCAGTTTTACAGTAATTACATGACTGTGTTGAAGCAAGAGAGAAGAAGAACTAAAAAAAAGAAACACCGGTAAAACGAACTGTCACAGCACATGCGCCGAAAATGTCGCCAGATCGATACTCGATCGCGACTGAGTACAACTGGTACAGTCCGGGTAGCCAAAATAGTACCTCATGACGTCAATTAAAACTAAACACAAACAAATACACCGTGCGTGCACTCAAATAATTCAAACAAACCACTGAGCGTGGCATAGCCTAGCATAGCCTAGCATAGCAGCACCTAGCCAGGGAATCAAGTAGGAGTTACAGTAATGACGAGATCTGACGCACATTCACTGAAGACATTTCCCATGACAAGCCATTCACAACAATATATGTAACTTTTAATCTCTATCTCTTTTTCTCTCTTTCTCTTTCTCTCCCTCCCTCCCTCTCTCCCTCTCTGTCTGTCTGTCTGTCTGGCTGCCTGTCTGTCTGTCTGTCCCTCTCTCCCTCTGTCCCTCTCTCCCTCCCTCCCTGGATTTCTCTCGGAAGGGAATATGACAGGCTACACTGTTGTGATTTCATAACAAAAGAACATAAACAGCTAGCTATGGCATAGCTGTTCTTGTCCTTTTGATGCAACATGGCTGTGGTTGTATCTGTCTCTCAGTTGGGCCTTCTCTTTGGTCTTATATGGTGTAGATGGATGGCCGCCCATCTTCACACATTAGCTGGCTGGCATTAACACCCTGCTGCCATGACTACCAGCGTGATGCTCAACTGTATACTGAGAATTGTTTTAAAGTGTGTTGCGCATCATCCATCTTCAATTTACACAAAACAAAAGTGGCCAGTGAAGTCCACATTTCGATGATTTGTGTAGACATTTGTCTGCTAAATGTACATCCGACCCCCATCCGTAGCAACACTTGGAGGACTTGCATGTGCCCTTCGCAGGTTGTTTGGCTGGTCTACTACATTGGAATACTGTGTGGACCGTTGATTCAGCAGCGCTTGAACTTGTTGTCGGTGCCAGTTCTCTTGCAAATCAGGCCGCGGACTCCTGGGGCTCAGCCAGGTCTACGATTGACACGAAATCGGTTATCGCATCAGGGGCAGACGTCAGAACATTTTTTCTTTATTTCTATATCTCGTAATCCAGCGATGAACTGGTCTTGTAGAGCCTGATCGCGATAGTCGCCAAACTCACACTCCACTGCTGCTCGTTTCAGACGGTGAGAGTAGTTTACTACACATTCCCCAGCAGATTGGACACACTGCCGGAACTGGTACAATGCAGTTGTTTTGTTCGTTCTGACGTTGTAACAATTTGTAAGTATATCTGACATTTCCTTGAAAGTCAGGCTCGGTGGTTTATTCGGCAGACATAAAGACTTAAAGGTGGCGTACACATCCTTTGAGAGCATAGACACTAAGTATGCCGCGCTGCGTTTCGCTGCAGCCAACTTCTCATCTTTAGTAGCGCTGGAAGCCACGGTGCCAATCTGATTGGCCAGTAAGAAAACCTCTAAACGTTCTAGAACTCTAAACGTTCTAGATACTCTGCGAAGTCGCCGCCATCGAACGGTTCCAAGCTTGACTTTGGCATGTTGTCTTGAACAACTAACTTGCTAGCACTACACTAACAGCAATTATACACTAAAATAAATAATCCATTTCATCTTCGTTGCCATGTGTTATATATACATATTGATAAAGTCTCAGTCCGAACACAATGGACATGCAGTAGATTTACAAAACGTTCATTATTACAAGGAAAGGGAAAATAAACATGACCCACTCCACTCATGCTCCAGATATCCTACTAATAGACTAAGTCATAATATGTGTACTCTTCTGACGAATATGTAGTGACGTAACACAAACAGTATGGCTTATTGCTTTGCAAGGTATGCACTTTTATGATGTAGGCGAATACAACAGACACATCACATGCTCAAGTTAAAACTTACTTGCACTGAACGTTGTGGACACTGGCCCTAAGCCATTATTAATCGTGATGGTATATGTGTAGGTGATGCCTACGACGGCAGTACTGTCGTTCACGTTGATCCTCTGTCCAATTGTACACATTGCCATGTCCCTTGAAAAGCCGGCGGGAGATCTCCTGATGGTGCAATTGGCAGCATTACCACCGTCACACGGATAGATCACTTGTAGAGACAGGCTGCCTGACTCGAAGTTCTGCATCGCCACTGGTGCGCATGGTTCTATACAAAGTGAAAACAACAGTCAGCCCAGTCAGCCCAGTACAGACCTAAACTGCAGTCACACAGATCTACGACCAAATATATGTTCAAATTGCACTGTACAAGGTTGCAAATAATAGCCGACTCGAGCCGACTCGAGGAGGTTCTTATTTGCAAGCTTACGCGAAGGCTTCAAGATGATGAGAGAGAGTGAGCAAGTTGAAAGCACGAGGCTGTGAAGGGCCTGGTTAGCTATGACAATGGGTGGATGAGAGCACGAATGTAGCTACCCAGGCCAACGAATAATACGGAAATGCGGGAAAGTGCGGGGAGAGTGCTGTAGCAAACAGTTAGGGTACTCGAGCATGGAGAAACGGGAAAAGGTGCATGCAGTAATTAATTTTGTGTATGAGTGTGTGTGCACATGCATATATGAGAGAGAGGTCATTAGTGTGTGAGTGCATGCATATATGGAATCGTGAACCTAACAAAGGCGGTCAACATAGTCGCCAAAAAAAGATGATTCCTGCACTGATTCCATTGCACAAGAATCAACACTGCCGAAATATTTACTAAAAATCCGAAGCTACACTTTTCAAACGATGCGCGCTCAGAGTGTGGGAGCCACCGTAACTCATTCTTTGACCCGACTAAAAAAAGAAACAAAGTCTTTGTATTTTACTAGACATCATTGTGGTCAGTTCAGGTAGCTACTGTGAGCTCTGCTGAGGAGAGACCTAATAAGGTGGTACAGCTGTGAGCTCTGCTGAGGAGAGACCTAATAAGGTGGTACAGCTGTGAGCTCTGCTAAGAAGAGACCTAATAAGGTGGAACAGCTGTGAGCTCTGCTGAAGAGAGACCTAACAGGGTGGAACAGCTGTGAGCTCTGCTGAAGAGAGACCTAACAAGTTGGAACAGCTCTGAGCTCTGCTGAGGAGAGACCTAACAGGGTGGAACAGCTGTGAGCTCTGCTGAGGACAGACCTAACAAGGTGGAACAGCTGTGAGCTCTGCTGAGGAGAGACCTAACAAGGTGGAACAGCTAGCAGTCCAGAATTGAGTAACCTATACGGATATAGAGAAACCGTGGGAGAAACTTACCACCCGGTAGAAGCTCTATTTGACTCCGTGAGGCCGATGCTCCATAGCCGGCCACATTTCTCGCCTGAACTGTGCACGTGTAGGTCTCTCCAGCATACAGTCCTGTTATGTTGGCAGTGAGGTCGGACACATTAGCTGCCACAACATGTCCTTCACGACTGGCGTCACCAAAATTAGTGCTACACATCACTCTGTAGCCGATGTTATTGGAATTTCCATCATCATCCGGTTGCACATAGGACAGTTCAATGAAGGTGGAGGCGTTGGAGAGAAGGGTGATGTTACGTGGTGCACCGGCAGGGCCTGCGCACAGAGCACACAGAAAACAGAGCACACAGCACACAGAGTGTGATGATAAAAAATTAATATGAGTGTAGGACTCAGTATAGAGTCCATGCACTATATGATGTCCAGCACCCTATATAGAGTCCATTGTTCCAAAATCCACTATACAGAGTCCAGGAGTCCACTCAGTTTTGATAAGCTTCATCCTGCCGCGCAATCCGCTATAAGGAGTGCAGTTTTTCTACAAGTCCCCTATTCACGGTCCAGGAGTCCAGTTTATCCAGTCACGCCGTCCTGTGTGTTGTGCCCGAAAGAGAACAAACACCTTTTCAGTTTTGCTTGCCTCGTGGCAGCGCATTCCTTTCTTCACTTCAGCCATGGCTGCCAGTTCTGCTGTGCAGTTGCTGACAGTAATCTGTCTCGAGGTAACCAAGGAGGATAAGAAGACGTTCAAAATCAAATCTGGAAAGTGTCTTGTGGTTCTCTGAAGACACTTCATCAGTGCGCGGGATGAAAGCAGAAATTGCAGAACGAGAAAAGTTCAGCACAGTTCAAATCTGACGAGTCAGGTACACTGACACTCTCTTTCGTTCGACGCCACAAGGATCCCCTGCTTGGCTGGCCATTGCTGCCAGTAAGAAGTTTGAACGGTTTCATCAGAGCGAGGGATGAAAGCAGAAAGCGGAGAAAGAGAAAAGTTCAGCATAGTTCCAATCTGACGAGTCAGATACACTGACACTCTCTTTCGTTTGACGCCACAAGGATACCCTGCTTGACTGGACAAGAGCTGCCTGTACCACCGTGTCAAAAGGCTGTCTAACTACATGGCAGGACGATGACTGAGGTAAGGAAGCTTTTACTCGTTTCAATTGGTCTGCTGTTCTGTCATTATGCTTGGATTTTTTTCCATTTTCAAGGAGCGTATCGCGTTTGTTTGATGTTGCTTGAATGAATGCCCTAAAAGTAATCAACCACTTCGTAATACTAATAGTCCTCAAGGACTGCAAGGACTTTGCATCAATCGTATACGATCGTCTAGCTATCATCAATTATTATTTTATTTCATGAGAAATGTATTTTTATCCCTGTGATAATTATGTGAACTCCACGACACTCTTCCTCTACAAGGCTCTAGTATGATGTCGAATACAATGGGATCCACTAACGCAGTGCCAGTGTACTAGTAGTAGGAGGATTGCTTGACATGATGACATGAAAAACTTCTCAAGCTAATACTCGTATTCCCTGAAGTAACCGTTTTGATGTCACGAACATGACACTGTGTTAGTGAAACTGCCTCGTGACAACAAATCATTGCATTTCCATCTTGGGGAAGACTGACTGACGGCAACGCTGTACAGATTGTTCAAATCATCTCATTTTAATTTAGTTGCAGTGAAGTGAAACACTGTGTACACTACATGTATGTCGGTGTGTCTGTGCGTCTTGAGTGTGCACAAACGATCTTATTCCTCGTATTACTAATAGATTATTGTCCCCACCGTTACCTGTTCACAGGTCTTTGAGTGGATGGATTTTTATTGAGCATCACATTCGTTGAGAACTTGGTAGTTGTGTGCTCCCATGCATCATTACGGTAATAAGCGTATCCTTGTGCTATCTATTTTTTGCAGGTGTGCTGATCTTCAGAAGCTTGCGGAACTTTGTGCTGCTGGCCATGAGCAATGGTGAAGCTTGCTATTGCACTCTCAGCATGTGCTAGTATTATGCTGATTACTGCACTATGTTACTCTCTTACACTACTACGTGTATGTAAACGTGCATGCATCCGCCCACGTATGCATTCGTTTCTTATAATTATTTGTTATCCCTCTTGACTTTACGTGTAAATGGGTGGACGTTTGCATGGCTGTTGGAGTTGCGTGTGTATTGTGTCTCTACTCTTTTCTTGGTGTTTTCTTGGCGTTGTATATGTTTGTGTGTGTGTGTGTGTGTGTGTGTGTGTGTGTGTGTGTGTGTGTGTGTGTGTGTGTGTGTGTGTGTGCGTGTGCGCGCGCACACACAATAATTTGAAAACAAATAATTAATCCTGGGCTCTCCATTATTCTCTTTCGATTCTTGTTTTTTTAGGTATTTTCTTGGCGTTGTGTGGGTGTGTGCATGTGTGTGTGCGTGCACAATAATTTGGCAACACTACATGATTGAGATAATTGTAATTTGCAGCGTCTGCGAAGAGACCACTTGATTTGAGGATGGTGTTTGTAGGGTTTTTCATGTAATGAAGTGGCTGCAGTGGCGCCTCAATACTTAATTTTTTTTATCTTGAGAAGTGAATGAGGTAAAGGATTAAAGGGAGAGGCCGTTTTCTGGTTAATATTCACTGCTTACACAAGATCCTATGTCTAATTTGGAACTCTGGATAGGGGATGCCTAATTGGCTGTACTTTATACAGGGAGTGTTGTCCACATAGAGACTCTTCATAGTTGATTTAAAAGTTTGGACTCCGTACAGTTGATTTTGGACCAATGGACTCTATATAGGGGTGAAGCCAATTGGCTGGACTCTATACAGGGAGTGATGTCCATCTAAACTTTGAGCTCACAATTGATTCCAAGTTTGGACTCTGTACAGTGGATTTTGGACCAATGGACTCTATATAGGGGTTGGACCTCATATAGGGGCGGGACGCTCTACTGAGTCCAACAATGAGTATTCCAAATATGTGTTGAACGGTCTGTGCTTGGATGACAGCTACACCATGGTTCAGTGGTGAGAGTATCGCTGGCCTCAAGCGGGGGTATTCGTTCCCAAAAACAATTATTTTTACCTACTGAACAACAAGAGCAAAGTACTGTTGTGCCCGGATTGAGAGAAACAGGAATATCAAATAGGCACAATGACACTCCATGTTAGAGTGAATATTAGAGTAAAGTATTATACTTACGGATAACGCGGACAGTGATATTGACTGAACTTGAACCTGCACCACCGGAAATTTGATTGGTTGCTTCACACACGTACACGCCATTTTGAGTTGAATCCGCTGATGCTACATCCAGAGCTGTCACCTTGCGCTCAGTCATTAGATTGTTAGTGGGTGTTGCAGCTTGATATTGGGACAGCAACGAGGACCTGACACCACTAGCACTGACGAAGTCAAACACAGTCAGGTCGGGACGGCTGGACACATAGACTGTCAAGAATAGCCTGGCGCCCTCAACAACAGAACGTTCACGCTCAGTGTTAGAGAAGTCAGGTCGGAAATATACGGTTACATTGAATGTGAAAACAATAGGGACAGTGTTTGCTTCATTCGCAGCGTAGCACACATAAAGGCCAGATGAATTCCGGACACTGGGAATTGGGAAAATTACTCCTCTGGCAACGGGGTCTGGTCGGAATGTACGTGTGCGGCCATCATCATAAGTTATGTTGAGTGTTACCGTGTTCCTTCTTGGCTGTCCAGTATTAGGAAAACAGACAACTGGTGGGATGGGTGATCCTTCATTGAAAACATGTGATATGCCCGGCTGATTAGCCAGTCCAGTGTTAGCACCATCAACAGTGTTCATGCCCACAATTGGCTCTGCAAGAAAAAGGATACAGGGTACAGGGAGCACACTTTTTTAGTGTATGCATGAGCATGGTGTGATGTGCGACGCATATGGTATGTGGTGTATGCTGGAGACACGTCGTCAGAGAGTGAGAACCTGCTTCCGTTTATTTGCGAGTCATTGTCAAGTGAGTGTCGTGCATGCATAGTGCTAGTTTGGTCTAGGAGCGAGAGCGATGAGTGATTCGTTCGTGGTCTCATTGTCTTGGTCATGTGTTTCGTATGTTGTACGCATCACTATGGGATTATGTTCGATGGAATATGGGCCAAACAATGTCTAGCAGCATCCTCGAACCAAGACTATTCAATTCAGCATCCAGAAGACTTCTGAGAATTTCATCTTTGTACAAGCATCTATGAATGAATTAGTGTTTTCAGAAAATTTGGTCTGAAAATGCCTTTCTACTATGGCGCACTCATTCAATTAATTATTTTTGCGGAAGCGTGCGAGTTCGGTTGGCAATAAACGCATATCACAAAGGAGCGTCCAGCTTTCACGGACTGTCACCATTTAGTCTCAGCACTCGTAAGACTAAACTAGTGAACATTATACGTTAAGCCATACTGTATGTACTGTGTGAGCCATACTGTGTGTACTGTGTAAGCCATACTGTTTTGCTGTGTAAAAAGCTCCCACTTAGCACGGAGACTCTACTTGCTTCATCTATCTATTTTTATCTCCAAGCACATTTTTATGTATCCTTCAAACCTGCATCTCCAATCATCCAGACACCACTGGCAAATACGGCTGGCATCCATATCTGTTTTAAGCTTTAGTTTCAAGGGATCCCTTTTCACCACATACTCACATACTAAAAAATCTCTGAGCAACTATTTCATCACCAGCATCCCGGATGATTGTGTCGATTTTTTTAATTCAATGGTTGATAAATATGGTGGTAAAGACACACCTGGAAATATGGCGGTAAACACACGCCTGTCCACACACAGCGTGTGTTTACCGCCATATTGCCAGGTGTGTCTTTACCACCATATTTATTAACCATAAGTACAGCTGCAGTGGTGTCTTCAACTTCATTCTATTAAATTCAAATCATTATTATTTTCGGCGTTCGTGCATTTTTACTTACCAGTGCGCAGAATGGTATACCGACTAGTGGCAAGTGATGTTACTGGCCCACACGCGTAGACTGCTCGCACTCCGTCATAATTGATAATGTGAAGCTGGTAGATGGAGAAGCTGCTTGAATTTGAAATCAAACGCTGGTACTCAGTTTGGGTTGGATCAGAAGCATCGTAAAAAGGAACCAGTCGGGGTGTACTACTGCCGCCAACACCTAGGTGTACAAATCGTATCGTATTCGGGTCGGTAGTGTTGCATGTCACACCTGTTACATTGGAGTGAAGAAAATGGTATTCTAGCAGAAAACACAAAACAACACAGTTCAGATACATGGAATTCTACCAGAAAACACAAAACAACATAGTTCACACACAAAGGCTAAGTTACGAGGTGCTCATCAGGTAACAGTACCGTTTCAAGCGCACTTTCAGTGCATCAGCACACTTTCCTTTCATTCAATGAAACGCCACAGGTCTGAGCGTCAGCCACATCCATGTCCATGATACTCGCCAGAGGAAAACAACTATAGTGCATCGCCGAATCTGGGCCCATAGGTTTTTATAGGTTTTTCACAGTCTCACTTTATTCTTGTTCAAGATCACAGTTTTTTCGTTACGCATAGCAATGATCCCACTGGGGACAAACAAAAGTAGCGTCCTCTCCACCGAACCAGTTGTCAGTGGCAACATATAGGAATCCTGTACTTGTCTTCGTTCCTTCTTTGCTGTATTCAGTGAGTGTCTTGTTTTCTCTTTGTCCTTGATCTCGACGATGTTGTCCTGCTCATTTACCTTACTGAGCCTCTTGTGACTGTAGCCAGTGTCAAGAAGGATGTTATTGGCGTGACAAGGTAGATCGCCGAGATCGAGCATGAAAAACACTCTGCATTAGTAGCTCCTGTAGAATGTTTTCTGGGATGGCGTATCTATGGCCAATAAAGCCAAGGTGCAAGACAGCATGAGAGATCATGTAAACGATGTGAACTCCAAAAGGTAAGCTCCTGAAAAGAAAAAAAGATATGTGTATTTAAAGGGAAAGTTAAGGCTAAAATCAAATTTTCACCAGTTGTAGTCTTCGGGGTGCTGAGTCGAATGGTCTTGGTCAGAGGAAGCTGAGACGCTCCCTTCCTACTTTAATCCCAAGCGAACTCACGCACTTCCACCGAAACTGGGTGAATGCGCCCTACTAGATTATTATTATTATTATTATTCACAGGAAGTGTGAGTTACGAAGTCTGAAGAAAATGTTGAACGGCCTCTGCTGGGATGACGACTACACCATAGCTCAGTGGTTAGAGCATCGCTGGCTACAAGCGAGGGTCCCTGGTTCGAGTCCTGGTGGTGACAGTCAATTTTTTCTTCAGACTTTTCCCGTTTGTCTCTTTCCCTCAAACCAGTCAATATTTTAAGACTTGGGGCTCCCCGCGTGCTAGTTTGTACGTGAAGTGTGTGGGTTACAGTGAGGGCTGCGTCCCACCCGCCTGTGTGGATTCACAGAAAGTGTGAGTTACGAAGTCTGAAGAAAATGTTGAACGGCCTCTGCTGGGATGACGACTACACCATAGCTCAGTGGTTAGAGCATCGCTGGCTACAAGCGAGGGTCCCTGGTTCGAGTCCTGGTGGTGACAGTCAATTTTTCTCCAGACTTTTCCCGTTTGTCTCTTTCCCTCAAACCAGTCAATATTTTATGACTTGGGGCTCCCCGCGTGCTAGTTTGTACGTGAAGTGTGTGGGTTACAGTGAGGGCTGCGTCCCACCTGCCTGTGTGGATTCACAGGAAGTGTGAGTTACGAAGTCTGAAGAAAATGTTGAACGGCCTCTGCTGGGATGACGACTACACCATAGCTCAGTGGTTAGAGCATCGCTGGCTACAAGCGAGGGTCCCTGGTTCGAGTCCTGGTGGTGACAGTCAATTTTTTCTTCAGACTTTTCCCGTTTGTCTCTTTCCCTCAAACCAGTCAATATTTTATGACTTGGGGCTCCCCGCGTGCCAGTTTGTACGTGAAGTGTGTGGGTTACAGTGAGGGCTGCGTCCCACCCGCCTGTGTGGATTCACAGGAAGTGTGAGTTACGAAGTCTGAAGAAAATGTTGAACGGCCTCTGCTGGGATGACGACTACACCATAGCTCAGTGGTTAGAGCATCGCTGGCTACAAGCGAGGGTCCCTGGTTCGAGTCCTGGTGGTGACAGACAATTTTTTCTTCAGACTTTTCCCGTTTGTCTCTTTCCCTCAAACCAGTCAATATTATTATTATTATTATTATTATTATTTTACAAGAAGTCGGAGGCTGATAATACTTTAATAACGAAGGTACGTGTTGGGTCGTAAGTATCCACGCAAACACACATCCAGTCAAAATAAGGCACTTGTCAAAGTATCCGAACGTTTTCGGTCCCTTCTCATCAAGGATTATACAGGGAATGGCTCAAGTTGGAAAGACTAAAACTTATATAGCGTAAAGATATGAGATAACAACACTCGTGACAAGGTGGAAAATTATCAAGTTCAGCACGACACAAAACTCGAAGGAAATAATAATAGTGACAAGAACATAGTAAGCAAATTAAGTTACATTGTTAACACCTCGACGAGGAGTAACACCAAACAATTGTAGCGACAACACATTTTCTTTCTGTACGCAAAGTTCAGGATCTAACTTACGGATATACAAAGCTTCTAACACAGCCAGATGCAACGCACATCTACCACGTGACAATGTTGAGAACACATTATCACTGAACATCTCACGACAATTGGTACCGGCTGACAGATGTTGCTTGATGGACGAAGTGCGATTCTTAGCTCCGTTGGGTGTTGTCTCCTCCAATGTCCCGTCATCTCGCCTCTTCGCGGCATCACCACTATCCGTCTCTTTGCTTTTCCGCGGCCTTCCACGTTTTTTGACACTAGCCGTTGTGTGCGCGATGCCCAGTGTCCTTTCAGCTACGTCTCCTCCATTGCGGATTTCTATTGATCAATTGTCGTGAGTTGTACAGTGATAAGGCCAAAACAAATAATGACCTTGTTTCCGGTCGCCCGACCGGGCCACTTTTTCCCAAATTCTGAAACTTTTTTTGGTCCCAAATGTATACAAATGGTGGCAATGCCATGTGTGCAAGTGCACTCAACGAGTCATAACTCAGTCAAATATCAACCGAATTCCACAATCGAAACACCTACAAGGTAGCAGAGATTCTCAGCTGTCGGCTCGAAAACCTCCGGGGTCGATACGAGCTAGAATAACGGAGCTGGAAGGACTCGAACTGTTTGCTTGATTTCTCAGGATGTACGAAAACAGGAATACACCACATGCTGTACAAGAACAGTGAGTCAGTCAACTTTGACATTGATCCTTGCCATGATATATGTACAACGTACATGTGTAGGTGCTCTTGTCCATCAATACCACAACGATTGAGGAACCAAAAAAAAGTATCCAAAAAAAGTTTCATTTCGGCCGACCGAGTCTCCTTTTTGAGGGGTTGCCGACCGGAAACAAGCCTATTTTTTGTTTTGGCCTAATGTGTTCTCAATATTGTCACGTGGTAGATGTGCGTTGCATCTCGCTGTGTTAGAAGCTTTGTATATCCGTAAGTTAGATCCTGAACTTTGCGTACAGAAAGAAAATGTGTTGTCGCTACAATTGTTTGGTGTTACTCCTCGTCGAGGTGTTAACAATGTAACTTAATTTGCTCACTATGTTCTTGTCACTATTATTATTTCCTTCGAGTTTTGTGTTGTGCTGAACTTGATAATTTTCCACCTTGTCACGAGTGTTGTTATCTCATATCTTTACGCTATATAAGTTTTAGTCTTTCCAACTTGAGCCATTCCCTGTATAATCCTTGATGAGAAGGGACCGAAAACGTTCGGATACTTTGACAAGTGCCTTATTTTGACTGGATGTGTGTTTGCGTGGATACTTACGACCCAACACGTACCTTCATTATTATTATTATTATTATTTTTTAAAAGAGGTCGGAGGCGGATAATACTTTAAAACGAAGGTAAGTTATGGGTCGCAAATATCCACGCAAACACACATCCAGTCATAATAAGGCACTTGTCATAAGTATCCGAACGTTTTCGGTCTGGCTCACCGGTTCCCTCGCAAACCCACACTTGCATCAGACACAACCATTGGAAGCATCGAACTATTTAGAAGACTGTATTACCAAACATGTTCTCAAAACACCATTGAAGAATCTAACTCAAAAAGAACAAAGAACGGAGAGCTGGGGACGCACGTACCCGGCCCCGTACCGGACACACAGCCAAGAAGGACGACACCGTAGCGTCCCCACGCTTGACTGGCAAAGAAAACAGCAAGCAAAGAAAATCGGCCAGCGGGCGCAGTTCAAACATCTTGAACGACACGCTCAAAGCAAAACACGTGACAGAAAATAATGCATGATGTCATCTGTACTCACGCGGACATGCAAAAAGGTCAAATCTACACAAAAGCGAGTGCCGCAAGAAACAACACAAATAAATAATAATTCAAACAGCGAAGAACTAGAAAGGCAGATTTCTAATTATCGAAGAACAAGAATGTATCGTAGAGTCCCAGCGCAACTGCCGGAGGATGCTGGCACCCACCAGACGGGTGGTGGTTGCCCCTGCCAGAGAGATAGAACGAAAACTGAAGCAGAGGAGCCACGTTACAAATAGTGAAACGCACGAGGTAAGAATAATCGAGCAGTGTCCAATTACGACATACTGAGTAATATACATGTTAAACGAAGACAAACACTAACAAATGGAGAACGTTCCAACATTTCCCCTCTCACGAACGACTCCAGACTAATCGGAAGTCGTGAGATCATCATACTGACCGGTACCTTCATCGATGGGTTCAACTTCCAACGGCACCAACTGCGTTATCGGCCGCTTGGACTGCTTGGCGCCAATTCTGATGTTCACTACACGGACCAACCCATCAGATCCGGGGAACACTTCTATCACTTTGGCTAGCGGCCAACGCCCTCTTGGAGTAGACTTGTCCATGCAGAGGACAATGTCACCGGGCTTGATGTTGCGGCTGCGTCGAGACCATCGCTGAAGCACATTCAGCCGAGGCACTATTTCTCGAAGCCATCGCCGCCATACCTCACGTAGGAGCTGTTGGAGGAGCCGCCAACGACGCTGTGGGTGCAACTCAGCGACTTCTTCGAGTGGCAGAGTCAGCTCGCACTGTCCAGCTAGGAAGTGCATCGGTGTTAGCGGTGCGGCGTCATCCACGTCAGTCCGGACAGCGGTCAACGGACGCGAGTTGAGCAGGCCTTCCGCACTCAC